CAGATGACACCGAGGATCGGCGGCCCGACCCGCCGACACGGGAAGCAGCAAAGCCCGGCCAGGCCCCCCCCTCCCCCAAGGCCTTCCCTGGCAGGAGAGGTCGCTCCGCCGCTCTATCGCGGAGATGCCCCCACCTTGACCAGCTGCTGGTGGATGATCTGCTTCAGCTCGGAGGACATGGCGGCAGCGCAGCAGAGGAGCCGCGACGCTTCCCGCCCCAGGAGGAGCGGGGCGAGGGCGAGGGGGAGGGGGAGCCGGGGGGGCCGCGGGCGAGGCCCCGCCCCCAACCGCCTTTCCAACGGGCGCGAGCAGCGGCGTAACCGCTGGGTTTTTTTTTTGCAGCCCACGCCGCCTTTCGCCTTTCCAACGGGCGCGAGCAGCGGCGTAACTGCTGGGCCGCTGCCCCGCCTCCTCGCCGCCGCAGGGCGAGGCCCGCGGGTACCGCTTTTTTTTTTTTGTTCCTTCCAGCCGTGGGGGGGGCTCCGCCAGCTCCGACTTTAAGGGCTTCACTCTGCTCATGGTAAGTCGCGCTCCTGCTTCCACCCCGCCCTCGATGGGCTTGAGGGGGCGCTGCCCCAACGGGGCACTCCGGAGCGGGCGAGAGGGGCGTGCTGCTGCTTGGGGCCTGGGCGCTGAGGCCTTCTCTGCGCTCTGTGGGGTGCGGGCAGGGGCTTGACTCCCTGGCTCGCCCGCGCCTGTGGGGCAGGAGGGCCGGGGCGCTTCGGTCTGTCTCTCCCCTGCCCGGGGGTCGTCCCTGGGTACTTGCCTGCGGGAAAGCGGGGAGGGACGCCCTGGGCAGGCGGTTGCTGTGCCGTGTGTATATCGGTGTTTTGCCGAGTAAAAGAGGGGGATTTGCAGGGGTCCTTCCCAGAGCTGTTTCCAGTAGAGCTTAAGGCGGTCTCCTCCCTTTCCGTCAATTTCTCCCTCCTCAGCCACCCGTTTTCTGCTCTTGTCAAGCTAAGCGTTGTGTGCTGAACTATATCTATATGCTTTCGCTGTAAGATTAAAATGCTGTCATCTTACAAAATTTGCAGTATCTGTGGGTTGGCACTGGAATAAAAAGTTATTTTTTCATTTAGATGCGATATATACATGTTTTAATGAAAAATTCCTCATTTGTGCTATATTTAAACTCTGATTAGGATTCTTTTGGGAAGTGTTTTAATCATCTTCACACACGTATGAAATCAATTTAAAATAACCTACCTGAGGAGGTTACATTTGTTTATTGTGATGTAAGAGTTCCAGTGCAGGCTGCAAACCATTATTTTTCCTCTTAGCGAGCCCCTTTACTGTATTACTTAAAGGTAACCTTATCACCTTTCATCGAGGGCTGCACAGTCTGGGATGACTGTGCAGGCTGCACGGGAAGTCATTGCAGATCAGCTGACTAGGCGCAGGAAATAGATCACTGCTGTTTTCTTTGTCTGGGAGTACCAGGCTGTTGAATACTAGCCGGTTTGTAATGACAGTCTGTAAGTGCTGTTACGTCCTCTTTCACCGTGGGCTTGTCGGCATCAGATTCGGTGTTTCCACAATTGGTGGCAGCAGCAACTCGTAGACGCGGACTTGCTTATAAATTTGAGGGAAGCAACCGAGAATTTTACTGTTGTGTCCTTCTACAGAAACTGATACTGGAAGACAAACTCTCAAATTTCTCTTTCTGTGCCATCAGATTAGTCAGTATCTGCCCCGATTGGTGATAACCCATGGCAGTTCCCATGAAATGAATCCAAGATGACCCTTAGCATTTTCATCCTTAAAAGATTAACAATCTACTCATATATAGGTCAAGCTGAGATTTATAGGTTTAATATGCAATATCAGCATTACCATTAGGTGTCACTTGAGGCATGCAAATCTCGGCATTAGTCGTTTGAGTGACTTTTATCAACTCTCTGTGCAGAAAAACAGAGGGAGGAGACAAGTTTCCAAGCCTTTGTTTAAGTTTACAATGAGTCAGGATTATTCACAGAAGTGGCCAGGATGTCTCTCTGGGACAGAGACCAAAGTCTGCATTAGTAATCTGTTAAGAAGTAGTCATCTTTATCAGAGAATAAGCAGCCACTTTTAGACCAGAATTGAAGTAATTTAAACTTTCACTATTTGAAGAGCATATTGTATTGTCCATAAAACACACTGTAAATCAGTAACTTCTGTTACTTCAGCCAGCAGTGTCAGTGGGAAATGTTGGTCAGCTGGCAACCGATCTAGTGATTTCCACGCTCAACATGACTAAAGTTGGCTACTTCTACACGGATTGCCTGGTGCCAATGGTTGGAAATAATCCATATGCAACAGCAGAAGAAAACTCAATGGAGCTGAGTATAAATGCTGAAGGTGGGTATTGAATGCTGAAGTTATTTGCAAGCTGCATAAGGTGCAAGAATGTTACATTTACTTTTTTTGTTGTTGTTACATTTTGCTTATGTGAACAATGTTTAAACTAAGGTCAGTAATAACGACTTCAGTAACTTACAGAGAAGAATGTATTTACCTTCACAGAGGAAACTGTTACTCTTGTTATTTTGGATAACCAATTTGACATATGGAACCAATAAGAAATGTTGAATTTCAACCATATGACAATGCAGCCAAAAGTCTCTGTGGTTTTAATCCAAAGCAACATGAAGTGTGCACTTACAGTAAACTGCTGGAATGCAAGCTGAATTTCTGGTGTAGAAGGGTATTTTTCCTCTCTTCTTCCTTCCCACCTATGTTTGCCTTTTTCCTTATGTGGTGTTTCTCCCTCTTCGCCCTTCAAATTCTTAGGTTTTTTTCCCTGTATTGATCATTGCATTTCATCTTTTTTTCCCCTTTTAAATCATGGATATCTCAGAATAATCTGTCAATCTTTGCAAAGCTGCATAAAGAGATTATCTGAATCATTACAGGAGGCAGATCTTCATATATTTTTCTTCGTTCAATCCTTTGAATTTATGACAAGTTAAATTAAGTCCGATGAAGACAATGCATGAAAATATGTTGGGGTTTTTTTAAGACTGTGGATATTGTCAGGCTTTCCCATAGGAATTGATAGCTGAAAGGTTTACTATCCTAAGGTTTGTAAATTGGATAAATCTGGATAATTCTAAGCCCAGATCTCTTTCTTGCTTTCTTCTTACAAAACTTAATATTTCTTCTTGTAGTGTATTCATTACCTTCAAAGAAACTTGTAGTTCTACAGATCAGATCACCTTTTATAAAGGTATGTATGTTCATTAGTTGTTCTTACTTCACTATTCAGTTTGAATAGTTCTGCTGGCAAATAGTTTAATTGGCCTAGGTAAATTTTAAGACAAAATAAGCAAAACTAGAAGAACTATGCCACATTATAAAACATTTTGTTTAAAAAAAAAAAAAAAAAGACTGAAAAAGAGCAAAATATTTTTCTACTTTGTGCTGTAACACGTTCTGCAGTTGATAACAATTTTAGCTAACAAAAACTGACTTCTGCATTCATTGAGGGTTGAGGTTTTGTTTTGTTTTTCAAAGCCTCAGAACAACCCACCTATGTTGGTAGATTTTTAGTGTAAATACGTCCCTAGTTATTAACAGCCTTGAAAACACAAAATGGTCTGGGTTTTGTCCATTTCTTTTTTTTCTTTACATTTACTGTCTTTGTGTGTTTGTCTTTTATTGTAATAGCTTAATTTTTGATGTCACTCGAATTTAATTATTTCGTAGTGTTCTATATTCATTTAAACTGCATTCATTATGTAAAAAAATGAAGCATTTAGTATTATTCATTGACTGGACAGTGGCTGTAATTTAAAATAAGCAGAATACCACACCAGAAAAAAATTTGCACTGCAGTTTTTAGCAGTTCAAAGTGTGGAGAAATACTATGTGATCCTACCATCCCATCTTACTCTAAAGCTTTTTCCATTGGTATTAATGGCACACAAAACAGGTGGTACTGCTGTTGTTTACATGGTCTTAATGATAATTTTCATCACTATACATGTAGTTCTGATTAAGTAACCAACCAGAGCAGTCCTCTGCTTTTTAAAAATATATTTGAAGCTGAAGACTAAATGGATATGAAGAAAAATGTACATCACTGGTAAACATTCTACGTAACACCTAGTATTGTTGGCTTTTGGCTTTCTTCTTTAAGGACACAATATATTTTTCACTTTTTCTCTCTGTCTTTGCATAAAGAACAAGTACAGGCCATTCTGTCAAACACTGCTTTCTTGGGTGAAAAGCAGCAAATGTGCCAGAGTTGTCCTTCTGTCTAGCAGCCATGCATACCAGCGCGATGATGAGCAACTCCTTGGGTATGTTTGCGTCATTAAAAGACCTAATTAATGTTTCTGTTCTTTTTGACAAACTGACATATTTCCCTCTACTGAGTACTTTCAGTAGGGTTCTTTTGCTTTGCACATAGGTCATAAAATGTTCTAATAGTATATTAAGTATTACGTTATACAGGATTAGTCTCTGAAAGTTGTTAGTTAAAAGTACTGAGCAAATAGTAAGCTGTAAGTAAATTGCACTTGGCCCGCACTGTCAGGCGACAGAGCTTCAGTTTTAGCTTCTTAATTTCTTGTGGCTGCAAGCAAAGTCAGGGATTAGCTGCTAACGTACAGGTCACAGATTAGATTTTTAACAGTTAATTAGAATATTGGTTAGCTTCTTACCTCTGCTTCATTATTCTGCATTTTGAAGGTTTTCTTTAATATAGTAAGTTGTCATTCTTTTTTTTTTATAGGAAGTTATCAATTCTTACTTGTTGGGAGGCAACTGCAAGGTTCAGACTATATGTATTTTTATTAGATATTGCCCCTTTAGAAGACAAGCATTACTCGCTGATTGAGGACATCATAATCAGTGATTTAACAAAAACAAACAAACAAAAATCAGTATTTTTGCAAAAGACCAACTGTTACCCTCAGGCTGTATAAATGTGTAGGGCCTTAAAGGAGATTTAGATCCATGCACGTCCCAGGTATAGTTACCAGTGATATTGGCATACAGTTGCGGAATGGCCAGCTAACATGGAATGAAATGGGAGGGACTGATAGTTATTTGATGCGGTCTGAGTCGTAAGTTGTGGTGATTTAACACTCCCCCTCCCCCAGCACCACAGAATAACTCTCTGATAGCAAAGTCACTCAAGAGTGAGGGTAGTGCATTCAGAAAATACTTAGACTTGACTGAAGTCTGCAGATATTTGTAGTGTGAGCTTATTAAAAATACTGTATCACAGTGAAGTCCAAGTTGACCCTAACTACCTTTAATTTAATCAACTCCTATCTGAAGGAAGAAAAAGCACGTTTTATTTGTAAATCATTTTAACAACCATAAGAAGTTCTCCTATCTATGTGCTTATGTACCTGGTACTTGCCAGTTACGTGAGCCTCTAAAAAGAGGGTACCTTAGTTCTATTTGTGGCAGAAAGGTTGAGTAGTTTGTACTGTTTTGAAGCCACAGACTACTTTTTAACTTTGATTTAAGGAGGAAGGGAATGTCAGTGCAATTCTTCATTGCAAGTGTCAGGTCCTCAATGCTTGCAGCTTCTTCCTGTCATAAGTCATAACATCGGTAGTGTCTTTTATTGTCAGACTGAATGTGTTCTTGATTTGTTCCTAGGACACCACTACGCTACCTACTTACACCTGATCTTGAGAAAGCAGTTGGAGGCCTTATGCAGGAGCTAAACTGGAAAGAAATGGAAAAAGTAGCAGCTTACCCCGGAATAAATGATACAGAAAAAGTTCTACATATTCCTGGAGGTGGCATCACAAAACTATTGTTTACTGAGAGGTGAGTTGCCTAAAGATAAGCGCAGGAAGGTATCAGAAGTCTTGGTTTTAGTACATGGGTAAAATGATCTTTTAAACCACTATGTTATAGGAAAAGAGAAAGTCCCTTTTTTCATAGAAAAGAGTTTTGTAGGAATAGAACTTCTTCCAGATCGAGCCCATAATTAAGAGGGAAAAAAATAGGGAATTCTGCATCATAAAGTTAAATTCTGATAAAAATATAAGTGAATGGGCTAAAGGAAAATAATAAAGCCTTTACAGTTAAGATCGTGATTAATCTGGTATCTGATTTTATGCAAACCACAATTTTTAAATAATAAAATTTCTGTACCTGTGACACTTTAACTAAAACTGTCTCCCATGACAAATAGTTCCATCATCAGTTGTAAAAAAACAAACAAACAAAAAAAACCCCCACAACAGTTCAGTGAGCACTAAGAATGAGTTAAGATTTCAGGGCCAGCAAACAATTAGGTGTGGGGTTTTTGTTAAAAACTGTGTGCATCGGAAGTTGTGCCAAAAACATGTCTGAGTTTCAAATTTTGGATAGTAATACTCGCTCATTTTGGTAAAACTGTGTTAGCTCTGCAAAAGGTGTTTGGTTTGTGTGTCAGGTGGAAAATTCACTTTTATTTTTTTTAGCTATTGTTTTTGACATCTGTCCAAACTGTTGCATCCAGCAGCAGGAGAGTTACTGATACCATGCTCACCTTTGTACTGACTTCAGTATGGAAACAATATACAAATGGAAAAGAAAAGACCTGCCAGGACTTTAGGAAAAAAAATTTAAAAATATAATAACAATCTTAATATCTAAATGAGAAAACGGGAATATTGTGAGTAAAGTAGTGATATGCAGCCTGCAAAACTGCTCTTTGAAATACACAGAAAGGTAAGGAGTGATTGTATCGAAGAATCTGTATAAATGCCCCATCAGCACAAAAATGCAAACTAAGTATATAAAAGAGGCCCTGAGTAACTCTTCTGTGACCGAGGATTCCTGCCTCACAAAGCAATGAACAAATTCAAGAATAAGAAAAAGAACGTGAAGTATGAAAATGCAACCAAGCAAGTCCGGAGGGGGGGGGGAAATATCTATACATATTCATACATTTTTACTTTTGGTTTTGTTTTTTTTTTTTTTTAACAAGACATATGCAGATTGTTGTTGCTCTTAATACATAAATATAACTGTTCTGGATTTAGAAAAGAAATAGAAATGCCTGCTCATTTTTGTTGCAGCTGTTCAAAAGGAATCCAAATGGCAGTTCTTCTGAAATTCTGCTCAGAAGGGGACAACATCCCTGATGCGTTTGCTCTTGTTAACTATCTTAATGAATGGCTCCAACTAGTTAAAAGCGAAGTAAGTGCTGTTTGATCTAGAGTTCTTGCTTTCATATTTTATATCCATTATTTTCATTTTTCTTCAGTCCGGTACATTAAATATGTTACATTTTTAACTTTTCTAAAATTCAGCTGAGTATGGGTTGGGTTCATTTTGGCTCTTGGTCATCAAGGATATGCCAAATTAAAGCTATATTTTGACTAAAATCTCATGGGGAATTTCCCCACCTGAAAAACCAAACCTAAACCCCAGTCCCTTTGTTTGACAGGTGTGGGGGGAAAATTGCGTAAAGGTTTGATCAAGTTCAATCTTCCAGTACTCTTCTCTAAAGCAACCCACAGTGATATTGACACTTGAAATGCTGCCCATTATTTTAATACATGTGCCAGAGATAGAATTACATCATTATTATTTAAAACTTAAAGAATTATTCTGTTTTTGTTGCAGAGCAACAGTTCCACAGATACTTCTTCACAATGGAAAATACCAAGTTCTTGGCGCTTACTTTTTGGCAACGGTCTTCCACCTGCACTCTTCTGATCAATTTTGAATTCTTCTGTAAGTCACGTGTGCAGTCTCAAACATCCCTTGAGAAGGTGATTACATAGTAATTGCTGAGCAACAGCAGCTTAATTTGTTGTGTACATAAATTCTTTATTTAAGAAAAATTCCTTTCACATATGTGGGTAGCTAAAGAAATTAAGGTAACTTTCACAAATTGACCAAAGAAATATGTTTTGTACAGTTGTTTATTGAATAACGTTGGTTGAATTTTTTTCTAATAAAATATTTTTTAAAAAACCTTTTCCTTTGGTTAAGCGTTACTGCTATGGAAAAGCTTATGGCGCACCTTCTTAAGGTAGCTGAGAACTTGAGATTGCTGTGCAGGCATAGATTTTTCTCATGAAGATAAAACCCTACTCTTCCATGTCAACTGTGGATCTTGACTTTTTTCCAAAACCTTCCTGGTGATGTAAGCAAAGCTCAGAAGTGACTAATTCTGCCTTCTTTTCCCAATGCTGCTGTGGCAGCTTCAGCTGGGGAGGCTGCAAGCGATATAGCAGCCTGTTCTATCTTTTCTGGTCTACTTCTGTTGTGTAATTTCCATTCTGCTTCCAAGGGCTGCAGAGATGCTAAAACTAAAGCTTTCTAGGTCGATGAGCCTTCTTAGACTGATTTGAAGATGCATACGGTGCTCTGAAATATAAAGGAATTAAAAAATTTCCCTGATAGCAGGTAGTCTGGTATCTCTGTATTTTATGCGCTGAAACAGTAGTTGTGTGATGAGTAATTCATGTGTTTAATGTCTGTAATGGTACTTGTTGCGTTATTAAGCTACATGTTCAGTTTTGATCTTTTGGAAGAGCCTGGTCACATCAGCTTATTTAAAAGTAATTTCAAATCTAGAATTTCTAAGTTATAGCTTATGAATTAATAGACATGACATACATACAGGCTATGCTTTTAAATATTTAGTCTGCTAAATAGATTATTTTTTTTTATTGTGGTATTGTCATGCCAGTAGTACAAATGATGAGGAAAAGAACAGCAGCAGTCCTGAAGAAATCTGTTAAAGGTGTAGGCATAAGATTCAGTAGCCAACTTTGCTTGAAAACTTGTGCCTGTTCGTAAAGAAGAGCAGTTGAGTCTAACTACTCAGTGAATGTGACTGATCACCCAAGGGATGTGTTATCATTCGTCTTTTTGGGTTTTTGAAAGTTTGTGAGGTGAGGATCATAGCAAATACCTGTCACAGAGGACTAATATTTGAATGAATATTCAGTTACTGTTCTTCTACCACAAAACAATAAGAAATTTAAGTGTTTCCCAGTCTTAAGTCTGCTTTGCAGAAGCAGATAATGCAGGGCCAAACTGAACCTCGGAGAATTAGTATGTGGAGCAAATGCTCCATAGAATTGTATGTCCAAATACCTTCAAATAATGTCTTAAAATGTAGGCAGTCTCAAGTTAAATATTGTATTTGAGTCAGTCACAAACCTAGATATGGGTAGAACAATGTGAGCATGAACTAACTGCTCCTGGCATTAGGAGGACTGGAGAGGCTTTGTGATTACTTAATTAACATCTGCAGTGTTTGGTGGTTGGTTGGTTGTTTTTAAAGGTTTGAATTGTGTTAACACCAATGCTTCTTAACACTAAATACCATGCTAGAAATGTAAAGTAATCCTTTGTTCATATTAATAAGCTTTTACAGTAGTAATGCACGAAGATGCCATGGCATAAAACAATGGGCTGTGAATAGATTTAAAGTGTTTGTGAATGACTGATGTGCCTGTGATTGTGAATCAAAAGAAACTTACCTGGACAAAAAGCAACTTGCATACAACTGGTATGCAAGCTACAACCAGAAGTTGAACCAAATAACATGACTAAAAAGATCACAACACTATTCTGAGCTTAAAGATTTATTTTGGCTCATGGTCTTGTCATTGTTTGACAAGAAGCTTGAGTTTCTATAGGCAAGTGGAAGGCTAAACCATTTGCAGCCTGCCTTCATATAGATCCCATCATGGTGGTATTTCATGCTTGCAAATACTGTTTATTCAAATTTTGTATTTTTAGAAAAGGGCTAATGACCTAAACATTTTCTGATGCCATTCTTCACTGTGATGGATCCTCAGATTCTCTGTGAATGTAATACATCACCTGTAACTGGACAGCAGTGAGCACAGAGAGATTTGGTAGCTGTTAGGAGAGTGTAATTTACGGCTGGACATCAGTTTGGAAAGCTGAATCTGCCAAGCTGGCTGAAAACTTTTGCCTTGAACCAGTAAATACTTAAGAGTACTTCTTAACTTTAAGGACATAGTCCAGTGTAAATCACAGCAACTACTTGCTTGTTCTTATGCACTGCTGAATCTGGAACCAAGTATTCATTTTCCTGATTAGAATCTGACCTTCTAAGAAGTCAGAAGTTGAAGCTGATCATGGTCCTGGTTTGGGCTTTAGATCTGAAAGCCAGCAGGGTGTGTCAGATTTACCAGTAAAATCAGAAGCTGACCTTAGAATGAAGCTGTAGGAGATAGTCGGTTCTCCCTTCCGTGAGGCACTGACGCCTCTTCATGGTCTAATGACCATGTTTGGTTTGAGTTGGGGCTTTGCTGACGTACTAGAGGATAGGTCAAGAAAGAATGGCCTAGCAGTTTAAACATACTCATCTGAGAACATAAGCTCTGTTATTTTAGAAGAGTGGATGGATGTGGGTAGGAAGAATACTTTGAACTGACAGCTGCTGTGTAGAGTGGTGGTTTTTAAAGGGGGCAGAATATTTAACTTGTGGAGTTATTGGAACTGTTATTGGAACAACTGTTGGAATCGCTGAGCAAACTGACGTGATGGAGATGGCTGTTTAAATCAGCTGTACCCTCTTGAAGCTTTCCTGAGATGAAAACTATTCTTCAGAAAAAAGGGGAGGAACACCTGCCTCTGCATTACCTTAGCGTAGGTCCTTCTACGAGATGAGTGCGGGAGTATTCCTGCATTTGTGCAGGGCTCAGATAACTGCAGCTGTAATGACTGTAAAGAATGAGCCCTGAAGGGATGTCTGCTTTTGCACTAACTTGCAAGATACTGAACAGTGCTTGTCAAAGAGCCAGCTTTTCAACCACAGCTTGCGTACTGCTTATACAATGAGTACGGCTATTTGGAAATAGTTATGTATGCACCAGAGATGCTCCATGAGGCTTTTCCAACTGTCACAGGATGTTGGTGTGCAGCAGGGAAAGGGATTATCAGCAGGCACGAGCTTTTTAAGTATCTTTAGGGGTTTTTTTGTTGTGGTTTTTTTAAATAAGGTGATTGTATAAGCTTTATTTAGCTGGCTCCGTTTAAGTACTTAGTTCCAGATCCAATGAACTGCTTCATTTAGGGCTACTCACAAGTGTCGTTATTCTAACACCTGTGAACTTCAGCCATGCTGCAGTAAACTTACTAAATATCTCTGCCAACTGCAGCCTGGTGTTCTAGATGATGCTCAGTACTGCAAACAAGTTGTGGAGCATGTGTGTTGCATTGCAAAGAGTTCATCTGTATAAAGCCTTGGTGTTTAAATAACTTGTGACATACAAATAGGAAGCCCAAATGGGGTTTGCTGCAGCTGTTTGACACAGGCATGCAACTTTGTTCAAGATCCAGAGCATATTGTGCAGATGTAAAATATACAAGGTACTAAAAAACTTGAAATACCGAAGTCAACTTCCATGGGTTTTAAATGATGCGTTAAAAAAAATCTGAAGGGTAAAACTTTATTTGGGCAACAAGCAGTGTTGCTTTGGGCATCCACAGAAGGCTAATCAGGTAGGAAAAATATGTATTAATTGGCTGTCTTAATCAGGATGCAGTCTGATGTATGCACAGTGGCATTTGGGGAGCTACAGTTCAGAAGGTATTTAACTGCAAGACCATATTAATCAAAATCAAAGCAGCTGTGGTAATAGATTAAATTTCAATCAAAATTCGCATGGCTCGGAACAAGGAGAAGCAGTGGTAAAAAGCTAGAGGAGGAAAAACAAGGGTTCTAAAGCAACAGCAAGGGAGTGTTTGGCCGCCAGACCGCAGCAAAGAAGCGTTCAGAATTGCTCTGAGGCATGGGAGTTGGTTTTTCTTTCCTCCTTTTACTGATTACAGCTCACGGTGCAATTTCTCATGAAAATATTCTCTCAAATAGCTTAGACGTAGTCATTTTTATTGTTGTCATTTTTGGCTAAACCAGTACTTATGTTACAAACATCTGAAGAAAATGTATCTGCTGGCTAGTGACGGAATGTATAGTTTAGCCTTTTTTTTTTTTTTTTTTAACAAAGGTCAAGACTTGTTAAAAAAAAAAAAAAAAAATCTTAAAAATTCGATTCCTTCAACTGTTTGCAAATAAAACAATGCAGTTAAGAGTGCAAGCCAACCCAGATTCTTTAACACACTGTGAGTGTTTCTAAATACAGACACACTGGGAATCCCTTGTGGCTGGTGTGCTCAGAGGCAGGGCAGGCAGGTGGCCGGACGCTGCACTAACAACCTGCTGTGGAGGTTAACGGGAGCCAGACGGAAATGTTGGTTTCGGAGAAGAGGCTGCCCGACCACTTGCTATTCCTTCGGCAGCTACACATCTGTTTGTGCACTGACCCAGAGAACGCATCATACGTGAAGGCATCGGGTAAGCTCCCATTTGTAACATAAAGGCAAGATCCCTAAGAAAACCGAAAGTAGTACTTTGAGGTATTTTAACCTAAAAGCGCCATCATGCAGTTAACTAGCAGTAGCTAGGGTAGCTTTCCTGCCCCCTTTCCCTTAAGATATTCTTTTACGGCTTCTTAACCTTTTCATCTAAATCTTGCAATAAATTTGTGAGAAAGGCGGGCAATGGAAAATACAAAGTCACATTAAGATTTGTTGGTCTTATTCTCTGCTCTTATTCATCGGGTTGACTGGCCTTGATGTCCATCATGAGCAGTTTTCCACTACTGGCACCTCTCTTCAGCTATTAACAAGAAGTCTGAGGCATGAAATCTAATATTTGCAGGCAGTTAAAAGGCTTATAGTTCTTACCATTTTATCGCTTGGAGCTCTTCTAAAATTTTCCACGCTCTCTTAAAGTTATGATGAACTCCATGCTCAAAATTGCATCAGCCTTCTCATCTCCTGAGTTGGTCTGACTTCTGGGTTACGCTGTTACGCTGTGGTCTCTTCTTCTGGAGTGCACAGATCCTCCAAACAAAGGCTTCTTAAACTACTGCGCCCTCCAGCTAGGAGTTTGCACGTATGGCAATGTTACCTTTGTTTGTTGG